TTACTTTGCTCATAAATATCTATTTTGTCCCCTTCAAAGGAATTATTGTTTAGCTCCTCCTTCGATGCAGTTTTTATCTGCTCAATCGTAGCGTAGCGTCTGCTTTCATGGACCTCTTCCGTTTTGTGAACAAAAAACAATCACAGGAGGCCATGCTTGGGGAATACCGTGGCTGCGGCACTACTAATGTATTGTATTTGGCCAAATACAAGGTTTGTTCAAAAGGTATCGAGAATATTGAATTTTCGCGAGCTACGTGTATCGGATCTTCACCGATATCTACATACCTAATAGCGTAAGTGCATTATATCTAGGGTTGATTACTTTGAAGGGGACAAAATATATATTCATGAATAAATAAACACTTTCTTAAGAAATACATATTTTTAAAACAAACCTCGTATATAGTCAAAGCTCTGGATATTCGAAAACCATATACTAATTTGACTCTTCGCCTCCAAATTCCCTGTAAATAAACTTTTATCTTTTAAAGTTAAACCACAGGGGAGGCGGGAAGCTCCAGGTTCATGCGAGAAGAAGCGATTTGAAAACCGCTTTTATAGGAGAATAGATTAGGATACTGTTTATACTGATACAACCAGGGCCATAGAGAGAAAACCGTGCCCCGGGGATGATTGTAGTGAATAGTTGGAGAAAAAAATCTGCAAAAATTGTTGCAGAGCACCAGGCCACGCAGGGAACTCCATGCATCATGTGAATGTGAAAAGCTACCGTAGTCTAGCAAAACATGTCAAACTTCAATAACTTGAATAAAAGTTATTTTTTTTTTAATATATGCGATGGCTTTACACCTTCTGCGCCGGCGTCGGGGACAACTCAACTCAGGGGTTTAGTTTGTTATAACGGTACTTACTAGGTCTATCTGCATATATGTTCATATGTATGTACATACATATGCATATACAGATATGTATGTAAGTAAGTATGTATATAACATACACACAGAGTTTAACGGTCTATTTCATCTGTCTGTCCGTTTTAATTAACTTGCCGTTTCAGCTCTCACATCTCATCCCGCTGTTCCACCAACAGTACGAACAAATAATATTAGGCACACACATACCGTATACCTGTGTGTTTATACGTGCAACACGTTTAGCATTTCCCTCTTATGCCACCGTAGTCCGCTCACCCACAATTTAACCACTTTTGCCAATTAGTGAAAATTCTAAAAATGTTTCTTCATTAGCAAAAATTTCGACCTACACTTTTGCCAGCGACTCTTCTTCTAACCTATTACACTAACATCATCTTAATTAAAATCCTGGCACAAGCATTTTGTCTGCCATTAAAATGTAGCCGCACGCACAGCCACACGAACGCACATAATTAAACTTATATACACATATGTATATATTGTATATGTATATGTACAGACATGCGTGTGCTTGTATGTGTACAACGCCACCGAACTCACGGCCGAAAGAAATTTTACCCAGTAACTCCCTCGGCGACCCACTCAGTTGCACCAAAGCAATAACAACAATTACTTCGCAGTAACACACACACATATATACATTTGTACATCCATATAACTAAAGTTGACAGTGTACAACAATAACATGATACTGTTGTTGCCTGTGCCGTCGCTTCCCAGCGGTTTTCTTTTCATTTCATTTTATTTCGCCACAAAAGGCGGCTTTTAATTGCTTAATTGGAATTGTGTGCTAATTTATGCGCCAGACTCGAGAGATGTTTCTGTGTATGTAAATACATGTATGGTATGTAGCTTGCTTGCGCTGGCTTTGTGGCACTCAGCGTCCGTGCTCTGCCGCTTTGACTGTTAGTGACTGTGCGTGGGAGGTTTGGCCTAAAAGAACCAACAAAACTGGCGACTGGCTGGCTGCTGAGTTTCCTTAACTGTTAATGTATAGCACGAGTTCGTAGTCTCCATATCGCGCCATCTCATTCTTTCACTGGAATGCAGGCCAACCACTGTCCGTTATGGGGCTCGACCAACTAGCTGGCGTAATATGTATAATATACGACGCCTTGTCGTGCTTGCCTAGGTATGTATATGTATGTGTGTATGTACGTAGATGCCAAAGGTGCTAATTAGCGGTTTTGTATTAATTCCACTTGTGAGTGCCAAGCCAGGAAACTGGCTAATAGGGTGCGCGATTGGGTTATGGATAGTGTGCTTGTGCGATACAATTTTAGGAACATAAGACTAACACAGAAACTTTAGAACGAGTTTTTAGAAGTTGCCTTCAATACTTACATATGTATGTGCATGCATGAATGATGTGTTAAAACCGACGAAGACTGGCCTAAATTGTATAAAAGATAGGAAGCTTGTAGCAGAACTGCCACTCAGTAAAGAGATGCTTGGACTTTTCATTCATCTATGCCCGTGTTCCCCACGGCCAGGGCGGTAGAGAGAAAACCGGGACTCGGGTATGATTGTAGTGAATTGATGGAGAAAAAAATCTGCAAAAAATTGTTGCAGATCACTGGGCCCTTGGGGAACTCCCGTCCAGAATTGTATCCGACTTTCCAACGCCCTCCCCGCTCTCGTTCACTGCAGAACGAATCTATTTTCCTCTATCTATTGTATTTCCCTGTAGTACAACCCCGTTGGAACAGCAGCTTTTCTAGACATACTGTTCGATGGTAACTTGAAAAGTGTGCCATCGACGTTTAATTTCTACAACAGCTGGTTCAGCGTTATCGAAATTGACCTGAGGCGCAATCTAAACTGATGAATGAATTGCTTTAGTAGTCACTCACTCACCTAAGCCATTTACCCTTAAAAAAATGCATACCCTCCGTGGAGTGGCTGTATCAGCATAGGTAGGCAGGGCTTAATGAATTCCCAGTGCTAATTTTTCTCATAGGCAGTTTTCTGTGCAATAAAAGAGCGAGACAGAAATTGTGAAGCGTGTCACTAATTAAAATCTTATACGTTATTTATGTTATAGCGTATAAATTGTTTGTATCTCCAACACAAAGTAATCAAGGTAAAACTAAACAAATTGTGTGCTTGATGCGAAACAATTGAGTTAAACCAATTTCAATGTCACACAACAAAGAAGAAAACAAATAACATATTAACAAACATCCAAAGCACACTTTTCTATACATATACATATGTGTGTATCTATGACATAAGTAAGTAAACAAAAAAGCAAGTAGGCATGTACATGTCGCAACAGCTGACTGGCTGTGTTCAAACATAATCCCACCACCAATGTTGTAAGCAGTTAAGTGACAACAATATCAAACATTTTCAGCCCAAATAGCAGGCGTTGGTTTCAATTAAAATTTTCGGCCGCGTTTTCCCCGCCCAACCTTATGACGCTTGACAAACATAAAATTTCTTAACGACGTTTTGTCTACCATGGCATGGTGCAAAGTTGTTGTAAAATGTATACATATGACTAATGAGGTGGCTTCCCTGCAGGGGTTGTGACAACGTGCAGCCGGCCGGCTGGCCGTTAAAGGTTGAAGTGAAATAGCGGAACGGCAATGCCGACGAACACACCCAAGGTCGGCATCCACCACGCCCTAGATACGCCTCAAATTCATCAAATGTAGCAGGAGCACAGAAATTTATGCAGCCCAACGCCAACGCAGGTACGGAAATCCGTGAGAGAGAGAGAGCGGAGATAAAGCAATAATTGAGCGTTGTGGACTGCGAATGGGCAGGGCTGGGCATGTAAATAATGAAAGAACCCTAAAGCGCAGTGGAATTAAATATGAAACAGTAACAAATCGACGACGCCTCCTGTTTGTTTTTGTTTTTCATACGGCTGGTGTAATTACTATCACTTTTAATATAACAGAGGGTTGTGCATTAATACCGTTATAGCAATGTGTCTGCAAATGTGATTAAGGCATTAGAATACAACCATTTTACAAAGCCTAGGAATAAAAGGCAAATAATAATAATTTGATATACTTATTTAAGTACATTCACTTGTATATAAATTTAATTGATATTTTTGATTAGTTAGATAGATTAGATATAGTTAATACAATATGGTTAATCTTCGCTGTCACTTCGCACATCTGCATGTTTTTCACGCTCTTTTCCCACATCTTTGGTTGCGCCTTTCGATTTCTTTTGCTCATCACCGCCACCCGTAGCCAAGCCATCGGACCACTTGCCGCGCGGTATATCAGAATAAGAGCTGGGATCCATGGGATCTGCTGGCTCAGCATCACTTCGTCCTCGATGTCTACGACCAGCGCCATGCTCACGTTCCTTATCGCGGTCACGTCTTTGTTTTGCTATCGTGCGGTCTAAATCACGCGATTTCTGTTTACGCTGTGGTGCTGTTGTAATGTTAGTTACCGTTGTACTCTCCTGTAAGCTGGGGAAATCCTGCTTTGGCAATGTCGGCGAGCGTGGACGCATTGACGAACTTATAATTTCGTCTATTTCACGTTGATGGCGTGCAAGTTCCGTTTCTTGTGCATCATCGCTATCGTCTGCGTGTTGTTCACCGTCACTACCGCCGCCACCCTCGCCACCAGCAGCTTCTTCTAATTGTCGTCGAAAAACGGCAGCACTTTTAGTAACCTGCGATTTTGGATGTGTAGGTGGTAACCAAGAGACCAAATTTTCGGCAACACTGTAGAAATAATAACTGGCACAGCCAGGATCGTAACGTTCAGCCCAGCCTTTGGGTAGTGGGTATTTGCGGCGCAAACGTTTGTAGCGCCTCATATATTCACGGCTAGGTTCGATTTTGCCATCACCCCAACGATTAACACAAAACAGCGTACATTTGTGCCATATATTGTATTTATTGGGACAACCACGATGTCCGGTGGTAGAGTTGGCCTCACCCATGCGCTCTTTCATGCGTTCCAGCCAGAAATTTTCCTCAACACGTTTGCTGCCCGTATCGGTGTCGTAAAGTGGTGGATATTGATATTCTTCATGCGCACCCGTACGTTGTTGATCAGTATCCATTTCATCATAATCTTCGGCAATAACTTCTTCATTTTCAACTGGTGCTGCCAACGGTGCATCTGTTTAATAAATAATTAAATTATTAACAAGCAATTATTCGTATACTTAAATGTATACTAACCAGTTTCTTTTGTTTTCGATTTTTGCACAAGTCCACGTTGTGCCAGACGTTGAAGTAATGCTGGTGGCAAGCTCATATTAATTAATTCTCTCGTAATGTTCTACTTTTTTCAAAATATGTATTACTGTGTTTAAATTAAATTACGAAGTGAAGATAATTGCTGCAAAGTGCATCAATATAAATCTTTTCAACACAATTTAGTTTCTACCTCTCAGCTGTTTGGTTAACTGTCATTTTAAATTTACAAGGCTTTTGACAGCTGTGTGTTCAGTGCTCGTTGTTGTGAGCGGTAGGGATGCATTTGCTGTATTTGCTGTAGAAATAATCATAACAAACTTTATATATGAAATATTTTTTAAGTAAATGATAATTACATATATATATTTATATTTTGATATAATATCAATTTTTTGTTGCTGTGTGATAAATTATTGTATGTGAAATAGTTTACAAAGTAAAAAATTATATATATGACATGCCTAATACTCATTGTTTTTAAAGAATTACAATAGAGCACTCAAAACCATTTCTAAATTTGATCAATAATTTTAACAAGAAATATTAATATAATAACAATTTTGATTTATACACCTTCCTGTCAGTGCATCCCTGCACATATGGAGCCCTGAACGAATTGAGCAACACGTGGAGCTCGCGAAAATGCTCATTTAGTGTGGAGCAGTTGAGTTAGACGCATTTAGGAACGGACGGTAAAGAATAAATTAAAAAAATGTGCCTTTGATAAATTGTGCTAACAAAACCATATTTTTGCGTTATTTACCAAAATTGTACTTCTATTTACAGAATTTACATACTGTATTGTGTCGGGTTGTTTTTTGACACATTTGTTGCTGTAACTCAATTTAGGGGGCGAATATCACTTGAATTTTTTGCACACAGCTGGAAATTTTCCACCGGTACAATTAGTGCTACAACCTTTAATAGTGGCGAAAAGTTGTCGCAATATTTTTTATTTTGGAAATATTGTGTGCTTGTCCTTATATTGCTGAACCGAGCGCGTTCAACAATACTTAAGTCTCGCAAAGTTTGAAATACATTTATAGCCAAAAACAATTATTTTACAAGAATAATATATAAAAAAGCATTTAAAGTTCAATTAGCTGTGCATACAACGGCAATTGACTTCAACATTACAATTAGTGCCAAACGTTCATTTATATACACGATTCTACAATAAATTTAAACGATGGCAACAACAACAACCAATGTAACCACTAATGGATTTAACAGTGCACCAGCTGAAACTGTAAAGGTACTATCGGTAGATGCTAGCGCAAATGAACTGCAAGATGGGCTTTCATGTCACGAGCTTTTCGCTAATAGCGATGGCTTGACCTACAAGTATGTGTGCTGATGCGTTATAATTTTATCATTGCGTGCTAAATAATTTAAGCGTTTTTTATTATTTATTTAGTGACTTTCTTATCTTGCCTGGTTATATTGATTTCGCCGCTGAAGAAGTGGATTTAAGCTCACCATTGACAAAAGATATTACATTGCGAGCGCCGCTAGTATCATCGCCCATGGACACTGTCACCGAGTCAGATATGGCCATTGCCATGGCGGTAAGTGGTATTGCTTGTGGTTACTGGGATGATAGTGTTGACGCACGAAATAATATATATATATATAATATATATATACATGTATCTTATTTTGTAAATGATAAATCATTAGTTTTTATGTTTATACCATTTGGAAATCTGTATGCTTGAATGTATTGAATTCGCCTGAAAACTGCATTGCATGTGGTTGATATAGGTATATGTATATATATATTGGTTGCTGTTTGGGGTAAAAGATCATTTAAATAACTAAATTTAATCTTATCTATAATTCATTTGTTACTATTGTATATGTTTTTATTTTTTTTTTATTTACAACTTTTTTCATATACAATATATTTCTATATAAATTATTTTTTACTTTCAGCTCTGTGGTGGCATTGGCATTATACATCACAACTGCACACCAGAATATCAAGCGAATGAAGTTCACAAAGTCAAGAAATACAAACACGGCTTTATTCGTGATCCGTCGGTTATGTCGCCTGAGAATACGGTCGGTGATGTGCTTGAAGCGCGTCGCAAAAACGGCTTCACTGGCTATCCCATTACAGCCGACGGTAAACTGGGTGGTCGCCTATTAGGCATTGTCACATCACGTGATATTGATTTCCGTGAGAATCAGCCCGAAATTAAATTAGGCACAATAATGACTACCGAATTGATAACTGCCCCTAACGGCATTACACTGCCCATGGCTAATGCTATTTTAGAGAAAAGCAAGAAAGGCAAATTGCCAATTGTTAATGAGAATGGTGAACTGGTTGCGCTAATTGCGCGTACCGATTTGAAGAAGGCACGTTCTTATCCGAACGCCTCGAAGGATAGCAACAAACAATTGTTGGTGGGCGCTGCTATTGGTACACGACCTGAGGACAAAGATCGTCTCAAATTGCTCGTCGAAAATGGCGTTGATGTAATTGTTTTGGATTCATCGCAAGGCAACTCAATTTATCAAATTGAAATGATTAAATTCATAAAGAACACTTATACGGGACTACAAGTGATTGGTGGAAATGGTAAGTGACAAGCTGGAACGAATTTATGTGTGCTTCAATTTAGTAGTTCCTTATACATTTGTGTATTTATCCCTTACTTCTTTAAAGTTGTGACACGCGCTCAAGCCAAAAATCTAATCGATGCTGGCGTAGATGGCTTGCGCGTTGGCATGGGCTCCGGTTCGATTTGTATCACACAAGAGGTTATGGCATGCGGCTGCCCACAGGCTACTGCTGTCTACCAAGTATCCAGTTATGCTAAACAATTTGGCGTGCCCGTCATAGCCGATGGTGGTATTCAATCCATAGGACATATCGTCAAAGCATTATCGTTGGGCGCTAGCGCTGTAATGATGGGCTCACTATTGGCCGGTACTTCTGAGGCGCCAGGTGAATATTTCTTTTCTGATGGTGTGCGCCTGAAGAAGTATCGCGGTATGGGTTCACTAGAGGCTATGGAAAGACGTGATGCCAAAGGCGCTGCTATGTCACGTTACTATCACACCGAAATGGATCGTACAAAGGTGGCGCAGGGTGTCAGCGGCAGTATTGTCGACAAAGGTTCCGTTTTGCGTTATTTACCCTACTTGGAATGCGGTCTGCAGCATAGCTGCCAGGACATTGGCGCGCGCACAGTCAGCGAACTAAGGTGTGTGCATTTGTTTAGTTTTATTTTTTTTTTTATACCCTGAACAGGTGTATTGCCACGAAGTTAGTAACAAATATTAATGATCAGCATATAGCTGAGCAAAGGCCTGTATATACGGGAACTAGTCCCTTAGTTTCTGAGATATTAATCTGAAATTTTGCACACGTTCTTTTCTTCGCAAGAAGTTGCTCATTTGTCGAAACCACCAATATCGGTACACTATAGCTTATAGCTGCCATACAAACTGATCGATCAATATCAAGTCCTTTTATTGAAAATGTTTTTTTATAACGAGATATCTGCACGAAATTTGGGATGGATTATTGTCATTAATTTTAAAACATATTGTTCAGATCAGACAACTATAATAGTATTAAATGTCATATAAACTCAACGATCAAAATCGAGTTCATGTATAATAAACTTTAAGCTCTGAAAGGTATTTTAGCTCCGGTGCAACCGAAATTAATGATTTTTCCTGTTATTGTTTTTTTTTTTATTTTCTTTAGTATATATAAGTATAATAATTTTTTTTTTATTTATTTGAAAAATATTTATTTTTTACTTTTCGTATTTTTTAATTTTTAAAAATATTTTTTTTGTAATTAAAAAATTTTTTTTATATTTTTTATTTTTTAATTGTTTATTATAAATTTTTGAAATTTTCTAAAACTATTAATTTACATCATTTATATAGAGCAATGATTTACAATGGCAAATTGCGTTTCATGAAGCGCACTCATTCCGCACAAGTGGAGGGTAATGTGCATGGTCTATTCTCCTATGAGAAACGTCTCTTCTAACAAACAGCTGCAACAAGTGTGCGCACTGATAAAGCGTTAATCGCAAACAATGCGGTGCAAGTGCGCTATGGTGGGTTGACAGCATATTTGCAAAGGAATGGGGCATACGAGTGTGGTGCAACGGCAACTCATAACATATATAATAGAGCGATAAACACAGCAGCGGTACAGCGGCGTCAGCAGTAACGTATGTAATATAGTGCTACCACACCTAAAGGTTATATTTTATGACATTTGCTACGGTGCTTACATCAGTAGCTTTAGCGGTAATATTTTTCTGTAATTTAGTATATGAAAGTAACGCCGTTGTATTTACTTGTATAATTAGTTTCTATAAGTTATTTCATGTGCTTAGAGCAGTACTTAATACATAGAAAAACTTAAAAATTTATAAATTTATACATTTGTGCATATTAAGCAACTATCCTCATGTCTAATTTGGTTTACATACAGCTTATTTGCTTTATATTAAATATTTGCTTTTGGCTTGTTATTATTTAATTAAAATCCTTTGATCGCGCAATCGGCTCATTTATACACAACTATTATTTATTACTTATTGCCGCAACTGCTGTATTTTTACTAAACTTTAGTAATAACTATTAAAAAAATATGATTATTTGTGCAGAAAATTATAAAATTTTAGTATGTAGCCTGTGTTAAGATTTGTAATAGTTAAATTTGCTCTAAACTACGCTAGTAGCTGACATAACGCTGTACTTTCTTAACAAGTATTTTTCATTTTCCTAGTTTATACAATTATATTGTTAGAAATTTTTATAAATTTAAATACTTTATATACAAATTTATGTAGATTTTTTCAAAAATGTAGCAAAATTTAGGCATATAACCTAGAAAATGTATGTATTTCACACATTTAGGTGTTTTAAAATTTATTGATGTTCAAAACAAGCGCACACCTATACACAATATTAGTTAATATGTTGGAGAATTTTAAGCTTAGTGTAGGCCTAAATGTTTTTTAACGAGTTGCAGCAACGTCGTGGAGTATATGCAACATGATGGAGTGCAGATGCCGACACGCAATATCATTAACGCAATGAACTGTCAAATGCCCACCGTAATTCTAAACAAAGCCGACAAAAAAGAAAGTACGGAAATGCACACGGATTTTTATTCGATTAAGGACTATCAACATTACTTGAAATTACTTCAGGAGTGTTTTCTGCCGCTACAACAACAACAAAGTAACGCTACGAACTGCCGTCATCTTTATTGCTCTAATCAACTTCGCGTACATAGACCCGCCTAACTGTATATTGCCGTTAGGTATGCTCCTACGTCTAACTGTTAATTAACAATTGCGCCTTAGCTGCTTTTAAAATTCTCCATTATAGGCAAGAAAACTCAATGTAATGCAATTTATATAGAATACAATTAAATATCTATGTGACTACAATACCTTATAAATGTTAGCAATTATGTAATAAACTATATACATAAATAATTAAATATAACAAACATATATTTCAATGTAAAAACATATGTCATTGTTTAATTTGTAATGTGCGCTCCGAAGCAACGTCTTAAATTACTTCAACAATCTTCGAACCTGCGGTGGTGGTTGTTGTTAATTATGTATATATTTATTTGATATTTAATATCAACAAATTGACGGCAATGTTGGAAACGCATAGCAGCTGCTGCGAAGTTATTCGGCGGTAACTTTCGTTTAGGTGCTGCTGTAGCAAGTAGGTTATGCGTGAATTAGCGGAATGCATTCAGATTCATTGCGATCACTTTCGATTTTTTTCGTATATTCATGATGTTGTTGTAACAGCTTTGAGGTTTATCAAATAACCACAATTGTTGGTGTGATCGTTGGTTTTGCATTTGTGGTTATTCTTGTAGTTGTTGCACAGAAGTGGTTGAGTCAATATTGTAGTTGCAAACAGACAGTAGGTTCAGCAAACAGACAGTTTCGACGGCGTCAGACCAATGGGAGTGGGGTGTTTAGGGATTGGTATTTTGTATGCTGCGGTCTATTCTGGATAGGTAGAAGTCTAACCTGCTACAGTATCCAGGACGAGGCCTTGTAAGTGGCCAGAAACATTACTTTGTCTTTACCCCGGATGCTGACGGCTAGCGGTCAAACGATATGGTTACGGCCCTGTACTTTGGTATTAAACGCGTTCGTATGCGGAGTGAAGGAGTACAGACTATCAAAAGTAATACCTCAAAAAAACCTCTAGCAAAAATCTAACAATAACTATGGGGCCGGAAAAGCTCTAACAGAACTTTATAAAATATCTACAGAACTTTACAACAACCACAAAATTTGATTTTCCTACAGCGTTGAAGCTAGAACAGAATTTGCTAATTATGCTACAAAACTTGATAACATACGACATCTTTAGAGCGAAAAAAGCTTTAGGAAAATCTGATAATTCCACTGTAGGACTTTACCACCACTGTGGGATCAAAGAGCTCTAGAAAAAATCTAACAAGTATGCTAAATGTTTTACCGACAGCTATAGAGCCAAAAACGCTTTAACAAAATTCTAATGATTACACTATATGACTATACAATAACTTTGGAGCGAAAAAACTCTAACAAAATCTGATAATTGTAGTACAGGGCTTTGGAAGAACTTTGGGATCGAAAAGCTGTAGAAAAATCCTAACAATCTATGACTCTCCGACAACTTTGGGCTAAGAAATCTATAGAAAAATCAAATATACAAAAACTGATAATTGTCTTATGACTTTTCAACAACTCTAGGGTCTAAAAAGCTTTAGAAAAAATATAACAAATATATTTTATGACTTTCCGATCACTTTGGAGCTAAGCAAGCTCTACCAAAAATCTACTAACTACACTACATTACTTTACAACAACTTTGTTACAGGACTTTTCAACAACTGTTGCACTAAAACGCTCTAACAAAAATTTAACAAAAACAACTTTAGGGGGCCAAGAAAGCTCTATCAAAAACACCTTAAAACTACACTTTATGATTTTTTCATAACTTTGGAGCTAAAAAAGCTCAATAAAAAATATAACAACTATATTATATGACAATTTTGGGGCCAAGAAAGCTCTAGCAAAAAACCTAAAAACTACACTTTATGATTTTTCAATAACTTTAAAGGCGAAAAAGCTCAAGAAAAAATCAAACAAATCTATTACGACAACTTTAGGGGCCAACAAATATGATTTTTTAATAAGTATGGGGCTAAAAAAGCTCTAGAAGGCAGAGCTACGACGGCGAAAAAGAATATAAAATAAACATACGATAAAACTTGAATAATATCTAAACTAGAAACATTCCTGAGAAAAAAAGTTGAACTAAACAATTATATTGGACCAAGAGCTGGCTGCCTAGTCGGAAAGTAGAGGCATAAAGCAGTCAAAGGAAAGCAAAAGCATTATATATAATATGTTACATGCATTTGTATATACAGGGTTGTTTTATTGTATTTTATATAATTAATTATTTTTAAAAACTAAGGACCATAAATGACCTCCATGCTCACACATATGCGACAACTATTATTCATTGCGGTCTAAAGGGTTGAAGTCGGGATTGTCTCAATTATCGATTTATTGAATTGCTTCAATTCAGTCAGACTTCTGGGTTTTGTTTTGTACACCTCTTGCTTGACATAAACCCATAAAGAAAAGTCTGGTGCAGTCAGGTCAGGTGATTTTGAGGACCAGCGGAGAGTGGAGTTGCTTGATATTAATTTTCGTTGGAGAACCAAACGCTATTGAGAGTAATACGTCTTCGGCGCAGTTCTGGGCAAAAAAACTCATTCAACATCTTTAAATAACGGTTCCCATTGCGCACCACTAGTAACTCGTTCTGGGTGAAGTTCCGTCTCGTGGATTATTTCTGGATTTGATTCACTCCATATACGGCAATTTTGATTGTTTAGATTTCCGTTTAGACCAAAATAGACCTCATCAGACACAAAGAGGCGATTTATCAAGTTATTGTCTTCTTCGGCCATTTCAATAATTTTGGCGAATTTCCAGGCGAATAGGCAAATGTAGATGGTTTAACCGGCTTGTTATTTGAACTTTGTACGGAAACAGGTTTAAGTTATCATGAATTATCCGTTGTAATGTAAAGCATGATACCGCTGCACTATCCAAACCCTCTTTTCAGTATCCAAAGCATTCCTTTTTAAGAAATATACCATAAATAATAACCTGCCAAATAAAAGAAAGTAAGTCGATTACTCCCACAGAAAAAAAGATGTTACGGTTTGTTTTTGTAGCACGATTCGTGCGCCACCTTGTATTTATAGCGCGAATAAACGCGTTGTTAGCCGAATCACAATTTAGACATGCTTAAACAAATATGCATACAGATAGCATATACATATGTACTCGTATGTATATACTGTAACGGCAGCCCTGAAAATAGTCAGAAAAAAAACCATAATATAGTTCATCGTATATCTACGCCTCCACAATGCCGACAGAACTCAACTGAGTCGAATTCGCGTATACTAAATAAGCTCAAGTGGCAAAGCTATATTATACTTGTTTTGTGTATGTATGTATGTAAGTCACTGCGTATATTTTGGTAAATTTGTATATTCATAACCGCTTCCTAATGATTGTCCTGCTCGTTGTGACTGTGTTCGCCTGACGTTCTCCCATCAGGTGAGTACATATAGGTATACATATATATATGTTTGTGTGAGTGGTTAATTTTTTTCGCTCTTCCGCTGAATGGATGCTTGTTTCGGGTTTCTGTTCGGAAATTTCTGCATTCCTGTTCAAAATTGATAATCATTTGCATAAATATGCCGCATTGTGTGTATGAATGTGGTTATCCATTTATATATGTATGTATGGATGTATGTATATAAGTAAGTATATTTGCATATATGTATACATATACATATGTAAATATATAGACATTCGCTTGTATGTATGTGTATGGTATATGTATTTAGTCCTGCCATAAGATCTGTTACAAGTTCAGGTCGTTAGAAAAATGAAAATAATATAATAAATTTTTTTAATTAAGTTAATTTTATTTAATATTGCATATACAGGTTGGTTAACAAGTTGGTTCGTCTCACTAAGAAATAGCACTACTAGCTACAAAATTTTTTTTCCTCTCAAGTTGGTACATCTGTCGTGAGAGCACATGCAAAGTTATTCTGTCAATTAATTCCTTGTTTACCATTTGAAGTTGACGTGTCAGAGTATTTTTTTAATATGGAAAAAATTGAATATGACGCAGTGATTAGATTCTTTGTTTTGAAAAGTTTAAAAGCAAAGAAAATTTATGAACGATTGTTAGAATTGTATAAGGAGTCCTCACCTTCAAAACGCACTGTTGAATTTTGGGCTGGTGAATTTAAACGTGGGCGTACTAGGCTTAAAGACGATTCACGTGAAGGATGAATAAAAACCGCAGCCACACCAGAAATCATTGAGCAAGTTCATAATATTGTTAGTGAAGAACCAAGTTTGACTAAGCGTGAAATTGCTAATGCCATAGGCATCTCAGACGCACGAGTACTTCATATATTACGTGTAAAATTACATATGAAAAAGCTGTTGGAAAGTTAGTGTCGCACACGTTAACAATTCAACAAAAACTGGATCGAAAACAAAATTTTCAGCATAATTTGGAGCGTTTTAAGCAGAATAAAACCGATTGCTTGCGTCGTTTTATAACTATGGATGAGAATTGATTCCATCATCATTCGCCTAAATTGAAACAAGAACATTTACAGTGGACTGAAGCTGGTTGTTCAGCTCCAAAGCAGGTGAAGTCACAACGATCTGCAAAAAAGATTATGGCATCAGTTTTTTGGAATGCAAAAGGAATTTTGTTGATTGATTATCTACAGAAAGGTAAAAAAATCAACTCTGAATATAATTGTAGCCTTTCTTCCTGATTTGGTCGATATATCCATTTCCCATGATATAATTTTATGTTTTGTGCGGTGATTTCTATGAATGCGTTGGCGTACAGTTTTTATACTCTTGCAACATGCTGCTACAGAGTAAAATAGTTTTGTTCATGTGCTCCTTGGCAAAAAAAGAAGGACGAGTTTCTAGATGGGCGTAATCAGACCACATCTATTAGAAAAATAATGAATTTCTCTTTACTAGACAGTTATATCATTTTAACTAACGTTTTTTTTTTGTTTTTAATTTTGTTGTTGCATGTTATGTACATTTTCTGCCATATTTTAGCATATGCAAGTGTGCTAGAGTCGGATATATATTATGAGAGCTACATACCGTTACTTATTTCTTCGCTTGAATTCATGACGCTCACGAGAAATTGCTTACTTAGTCGCCGGTTGTTTTTTTCCATAATCAGAGTTGTGTTCTCTCTTTTGCGAGTAGATCTATTGGGATCACGCCGCGTTTCACCAACACTGCGGATTTGGATACAGTGCGGTACGCCGTGGCGACTCTCAGGGCTGCTATCCTCGGTACCTTAGCAAGTACTACCAAGTACCGTCTATGTTTC